TAAATAAATAAATAAATAAATAAACAAACAAATAAACAAACAAACAAACTGACCGACCGTCCGTCCGTCCGTTAGAACAATGCTTTTTCCCTGAACTTCACATGTATTTGCTATAGTATTTACTTAATCCCAATTTCAACTTAATTTTTTTACATTTAATTTTAATTTGCTACCAGGGAAAGGGAGACAGCTTGGTCTCTAAGATACAGAGATACCCTAGTTCTAAAAATGTGGGTGCGAGCATGAGACAACCATTAATCCAGCTAATGGAGCTCTTCCGAAAATATCTATAGAAGCCATCTTCAACCTGGTGGATGGGGATTACAGTATGAGAGTCAAAGTCCATCCTACCTAGAAGGGCACCAGATGAAAGAAGTCTGCACTAGAATTTCTAAAACAAAGAAGGTAGTTCAATACATCTGATGAAACCAATTTTTGGCTTGAGGACCCCATACCATGTTTAGGATGCCACTGGGGGATTTCAGGTATTATGGCCACAAAGGAGCTGTTTCCTGCAGCAAGTTATGATTTCTTGATTATGGCCAGATTTTACAACCTGCTTGGACCTCTTCCAATGCTCACTATTTTTTCCCAAGCTTCTTTTATTTTTAGTTTAAGGCTATGGGTGGAGAAGCAAAGATCTCCTGTGTGATTATGAAGGGTGTGTCAAAGTTCTGGAATGATGAGCCCCTTTCAGAGCTATTGCAAGACACCTGTCAACTCCACCAAGTTGCACACTTCTGCCTTTTTTACTCGTCTGTTAGGGAAGAATCTCAGGGTGTGTAGCTTCCAAGCAGGTGCACAAATAAATCTGTCAAAGACCGGCTGACAGGCCCTTGGCAGAACACCCACAGGCTGAGCAACTTCAATCATCTCATTTCACAAATGAAAAGTAGTTACGTAACCCATCAATTTTTGTGAGCGGGGTAACTTGAAGCATGCATATTGCAACGGTCCACAACAGGACACCCACCCCGCAGGCTCTGTGCTGACCCTGAAAGCTTTGGGTGGAGCTCCCAAAGGCTTTCAAAAGTTGCTAGCAAACTGTACAATTATTAGACAGCACGCGAATGCGAGTGGGAGCCATCATGGTTGCAGTCTTTCATTGTAATGCTATTTAAATGTTAATGGAATCCAATCAAATGTAGTTTCTATCCTACCCCACCCCTGCCTTTGGGGGTACACCCCCAACATGCCATTGAAATGGCAGCTGCAGGCCTCAGCCTGGGAAAAATAGCACACTCTTGCCATGTTCTTTTCCTGTCTGATGGAGAAAGACAAGACAGCATTCTCTGTGTGAAACTGGAGAAATTAAATCTGCCAGCAGCAGAACTATAGTTCGACTAGTACAGGAGAAGCTACACACTGTCTGTACGCACCAACCTCTTCATGGGCATCTCCTTGATGCCTTCCAGACTCCCTGATCCCTCTAGCTTTTATTTTTTAAGATGGTTCTCGATTTAGTGAAACGTGAAGATCCCAGGCTGTAAATAATCAGCGTCTAGTTTCATTCTCATTTCAAAGGACGCTTCTGGATAATATCCCATAACATCATCTTTATTTTGAAGGATCCCTCTGGGCACCATTTATGCCCCACAGATGTGCAGAAAATGAAAATGCTGAGAGGATGTAACCCATTAGTTGGGAGGTGAAAGAAAAAAGGAATTCCAGAAACAGAATTGTAGAGATGGAAGGAACCACAATCCACTTCCATAATCTAGTTCCACCTTCTCCAACATGCAAGAAAACCAATTAAACCGTAAATAAGAGGTGGCTGTCCAGCTCAAAAGCCTCAAGAGATGGAGAGCCCACAATTTCTGTAGGTAGATTGTTCCACTGTTGTACAGTTTTTCCTTATAATTATGAAAAGAAGAAGAAGGGGTAGAAAGTAACCTTGGAAGCTAGAAGAAACAGCAACAAGGAACATCCCTGGTTGGCCATCCAGTGCATTTACTGCATGTCTTATGACAGCATTTTGGAAATAGGCATGTCCAGTAGAAATAGGTTATTTTCTGAAAGCATCTACAACATATGCTCAAAATTGCACGTGTGTCCAAAAAAGTTGCTTACTCTTGTTTGAGGTTCTACAGAGCCTTAAGCAAAAAAATGGTCAATCTCAATTTCATGTCAAGCTTCTCCAACCTCAAAAAACTTCTACTCCCTTATTAGAAAAAAGCTTCTAGCACAGCAGACTCAGAAAGGCATAGTGAGAGGGAGTTGGCTGCATACTTTAAATTCCCTTGCACTCTTATAATTCCCTCCTCCCCAGAGAAAGAGAAAGAGATCTTCTACAGGGAATTAGCAAGGACTAAGAGGAGGGGTCATTCCTGAAATATTCTGGCATTCAGAAGAGCTTTTGAAAGACAAGAAAAACTTGTTATGACACAGCAGTATGAAGAGTACATCA